GAAGCCCGACCACATCCAGCGGCTCACGTACAAGCTCTGCCACATCTACTACAACTGGCCGGTGAGCGTCCCCCGAGGCTCTGCTCGCACAGCCTGCTGCCACCCACGAGCGGGTGGAGCAGCGCCCTGTGACCACCCCTCTCCCACCACAGGGCGTCATCCGCGTCCCCGCGCCTTGCCAGTATGCGCACAAGCTGGCCTTCCTTGTGGGCCAGAGCATCCACAGAGAGCCCAACCTGTCCCTGTGCAACCGCCTCTACTACCTCTGACCTCGCCCTCTGCCGCGCCCCGCCACCGCGCCCCGCCACCGCGGCCGGTAGCCTGTGTGTGTACCTGTCGTCTCTAGTGGAACCTGGAGGAGAACCCGGAGGTAGTCAGGGTTTAGTGGCAGTGTTGCTAGTAGCGGGTTGTTGATTGTATAGGTAGAAGTTGAGGTTTTATATTTTATGTTGGTGAGTTCTCTTAAGTATGTTTTGATGGCCAACGCATTTTGTTCTGTAAGCAGAGTTTCCTAAAGTATCGGAGGAGCACAGGTTTGCGGGTTTGCTTCCAGCAGGGCAGGTCTTGCTGCCATCCGTGTTAACTTTATTTTCAAAACACAGGAAAAAGCATGAAGCAGGTGCTCAATCAGTCTCAGCTAGGTGTTGATTGGTTATATCATATTTTAATGATAAAAGCTACCATTAATACATATGGTAAGGGGGGGTTATTTTTTTATTTCTTTAGGAGAGTTAGAAAAAGTTTAGAAACTTGTTGGAAAGTTTTAAATTTTTGCCCAAGGAAATATTTTAAGGTTCTTTGATAAGAGGCCAGTAATGACAGTCAAAATTCACATTACTGTTTGTTTCACTTTGCATCCAGGACATTCTAGGTTTTATAAACTATAATGAAAGTGACTGTCACTTGACTTGAATAACAGTATAGTTTTACTTTTTTGAAAGTATGCATTTTCTTTCCACTTAATTTTTTAAGCTGCTGGAGAGCAGATGAAAAAGATACGATTCCACATAGGAAAGTAAACTGCCAGGTGTGGTGGCCACGCCTGTAATCCCAGTACTGGGGAGACAGAGACAGGAGGACTTAGAGTTGGAGGCCAGCCTGGGCTACATAGCGAGACTCTGTCTCAAACAAGGCAAAATGCGGCTTCAGGGTAGAGTTGTGCAGGAGCTGGGGCTCGCAGGGTGGGAGGGGGTCCGGCCGAGGGCCAGCGCTGCAGCATTCACGTCGGAGCATTGCAGCTGCCGGCAGCCCTCGCAGGGGCAGCTTGGGCTGAGTGAAGACCCTGCACCTGCCTGGGACACTCACACTGCAGGAACGGAGCTGTAATTCCCCCTGCAGTGCAATAAAGCCGTTGTCCACATTGCCCCGCTCTCTGTGTACTGCCCCGCACCACCGGGTGCTGGTTCTGGTGGTCCTCTCAGGCCTCACAGTGGATGGCGCTGTGCATGTTGGGTGGGGCTCAGTGGACCCAGAGCCGCTCGCTCCCCTTGCTTGCTAAGCAACAGAAGAAATGCAAGAGAGCGATGTCTCGGGGCGCCGTGTGAACATGTTGCCGATAAAGGCTCTGAGAGGCTGTCACATTTCATGTGATGTGTTTTGTGGACTCCAAGGCTAGTGGGCAGCTGGTATTAACACCTCATTCTCCTTGAAGAGACAGGGCTTAGAGCCGTGGCACGCAACTGCAAACTCACACAGCTAGAGGGGCTGCTGGGGCCCAGAGACACTCAGACTGCTGGGGGGAGCCCCGGCCCAAGGGGGTCCCGGGCACCGCGTCCAGCGCAAGCCTGTGGCCGTCAGTGCGGGCCAGTGTTCCAGCCAGGCTCCAACCTCATCCCTGTTGGATCCACTGCGGAGCTAACAGCTGGTCGGGCTTGGGGTCCGGTTTCAGGCACTGTTTGAAGGGCGTGTCTCAGCCCAGGCCCCCTGGGCACACTGCTTCCTGACACCAGGCGCGCGGCTTTCCTCCCTTCTGCTTGTGCCCCGGGGACTGGAAAGGACAGGCTTTGTAGAGAGAAGCACGGCGGTCAGCGCGGAGCTTCCTGAGTTGCAGCCCAGCCGGTGCTCAGCCTCTTCCCACAGGCCTCACAGCGCCTAAGTGCCACTGACCTTTGACTTTGACCTCTGTTTACCCAAGGCTGCCACAGCATGATTTAGAATTATTTTAGGGGGGAAAAACTAGTCGCAGAAAAGGTGAGCTGCTAAGTTTTTCATGAATCCAGTTGTCTTGGCACCACAAAAATATTTCAAATAAACACACAAAGGAACATTGTATAAAATAACAAATTTTATTTCTAGAAAATACATGAACTGTACACATGCGCACGCCCACACAGTATGTAGACACACTGATAGTTTCCTTTTAATAAATCCACCACATACAGTTATATTACGGTTGACAATACAGTTTTTAAAGACACAGTGGGGAAAGCATTTGTCATTCATGTATAAACCTCCCAGAAATTACAAAAAAAAAAAGGCAGTCTGAAAAGTATAAAGAGTAGAAACAATTTACAAGTGGACAAGAATTACAAAATAGAAACCATCAAGTACATCTTTCAGCAACTTTTTTGTTCAAATGCCAATGATAAGCGGGGTGGGTTATTTGGAAGCGGTGGAAATGTGGCTGTTAGTGGTGTGGGGAGTGCATTATGGGATGTCTACTGTGTGCTGTGTGTGTGGGTGTGGCTTCGTGACCATAACAAAGGCATGTGCCACAAAATGCTAACACTAAAAGCGAAGTAGTCCGCTTTCTGGCCAGTTGGGAGTACTGAAGCTTGAAACGAAGCTACTTTTCTCTCCTTGGCTCTCTTTTTGTGTACAGCTGAATACGTAAACATTTTCTGTGCATTGCCTGGCTTGCTTTGAAAGACTGAAGACCCTCATGGTAAGATGCACAGCCTGGCAACCTGATGTCAAACCCCTGTGTTGGTGAGGAGGAAGACCAGGAATGCACAACACATACAAAGTACACACAGCGTTTTATTAGACAGTACAAATCATTGTGCGTTATAAGGCAGAACATCAAGGCAAATTAAACTAGGAATTTCAAGACCAACGTGAAGTTAATGCATGAAGATGCAAGCATTTGAAAGAGGAGGAGGGTGACGAGCGCCCTGGCCGCGGGCTGGCAAGACGCCCCTCCTGACCCTGACCCGACGGGGCCGCGCAGCCCTGGCAGCGCCGAGGGAGAGGACCGCCCCTCCGGTCTCGCGGTAGTGCAAAGTGCATTGCTCTAGTGGTGTCGGGGAGGAGAGTGTTAGGAAGTGCTTGAGTCATGAAAGCCCTAGTTTGGAATTAAATCTCAGAGGTGTGGAGGCTGTCCGGACGCAGGGGAGCCATTCACTTCACCGCGCCCAGCCGTTTCAGCAGTTCCTTCCCTTTGGAAAGCAGCCCCTTTCTCCTCGAGGACATTTCCCTGCCTCTCCCAGGACTACCAGAACCCAAGGATGACGTAGGTGACCCCGAATGGAGGTGGGCTGTGGGGGATGGAGCTCTCCTTGCTGTCCCTGAACCCTCGGGAGGAACCTAGTAGGTACACGTGACAGTTTATTGAGTATGCGGTCACTGCAAACACGGGCCACCCCGTCTCCCACCAGCAAAGGGAAGGAAGGGTTCGTTTCTTCTTTCGCATTTTAAAGCATGCCATGACAAGCACAGAGCCGCCCGCTCCACGGGCCTCGGAGCGAGGCCTGGCCGCGTGTGCTCTCGGTGTCTGTTTTGGGGGGACGGGGGCCTGGGGGCATCGCTTGGCAAACGAAGCCAGGTCACCATTTACTGTGCAAATTCAGACTAAAGCAGGGGCGCCCGAGCAGAACTGCTTGGTTGTGTGGGGGCCTGACACTGTTGGATACGTTCTTGGGCCGTTAGAATCCTACAGAAACTTGGGAGATGGCACACTGGTTGAAAGGAAAAAACAAAAAAAAACTAAGATGAACCTTAATTACAATCGAAGAAAGCTCAGAGGCCCGTATGGAGCGCTCCCGTTCTTCCCAATAACGGAGTGTGAATTTTCCCCAGCAGGCAGCGCGTGTTCTACTTCGGCACATGGAGGTACTCAGCCAGTGCCTCAGGGGGGTGGAGATTTACTCTGACACAGGGCATGACCCCTGGGGCCAGAGGCAAGGTAACATCCTTCCCCGGGGCTGGGGACCTCCCCACAGCAAAGCCCTTGTCAAGCGAGCGTTCCTTCACCTGGGGCTGCCAAGGAAAAGCAGCCAGGGGCTTCGAGCTTGCTTGGATTTGAAATCAAGGTCAAATTCTAATGGAAAACACCTAGGAATGCATCCCGAAGCACACCTGAAGATACCACCTGCGCCCACTGGTACAGGGTGTGAGCTGCGTGTCCTGGGACATCCTATTGCATTGGTAAACCAGAGCCGAGCCCGCGCTCCAAGCAGCTGTGCTTTGAGGTGAGCCCTGGGCGCTCTCCAGGTGGCGGTGTGGCGGCCCAGTACTCAGGCCGGTGCCCCGAGCCTTGGAGCCGACACCTGGTCACCTTTAGTCACTAGCCTGCTTCATCTTGAGCGATAAGGTTGTTTTTTTAAATGTATTGTTAAGTAAACATTTATTAGGTTGTGCTTTTTTCCAGGAGTGGTTAACAATGCAATATGCAGCTTTTAATTAAAGTAGACACTGGGACACTCTCTATGTAAACAAACAGCTCATTAAGAAATATGTTCTCAATGCTGCCTTTGAAATACTCTTGATAGAAATAGTAGGAAGTAAGTTTTAAGGAGGATCCGTTTCCATACGAATCCAGTTGCTTTGCAACTGAGACCAAGTTATTCACTAGCACTTTAGGTCCAATGGGTTTTTTTGAGACATATTTCTTCTCTCTCTCTCTCTCTCTCTCTCTCTCTCTCTCTCTCTCTCTCTCTCTCTCTCTCTCTAAGCCCACAGTGGAGCCTTAAGTCAGCCGTATGGGTCTGCTTAGGGTAGCTTAAGTCGGTATCTCTCTAGGTGTCTTCAGTTGCTCACTTACGTGACGGCTACATGCCTGATTAAGGTGTGAAATGAACGCTCTTCTTCTGTGTCCAAGATGAGCGAAGAAATAAAAATATATACGTAAAATAGAACAGATAAGAACTCGCGGAGATGGCGTAACGTAAAGATGAGACGCTAAGGCAGATGCGGGTACGCTAGAGGGCCCTAATGAGGGCCGGTGGCCATCATGCCCGAGTCTCGCTCTGCCTGGCCTGACCTGGGCCTCTGGCTTGGAGGGCTGACAGCCTCGGAGGCGAGGCCGGCCCAGGAGACCTGAGGGGCCCTTCCGTACGAAACAGACTTGGGGGTTAGAACTAGGCTTCTAGGCTTCGGTAGGCCCAACCCTTAGGGGAAGGACAGAGGGAGAACTCAGGCCGTCTGCTCCACACCCAGGACATGAGAATGTCCACATACGGCTTAGACCAGGACGGGAGGGGCGCAGGGCAGGAGGCCGCATGGGGACGGGAGGGGCGCCCAGGGCCGGAGGTCAGACACTAGGGAGGCTGACTTACCCGCTTGGCCTTGGAGCGCAGGGCTGGGTCTTGGGAGTAGTGGGATGGGGCGTCGGAGAGATACACCTCCACGTCATCAGGCACTTCCTCCAGGAAGTTCGAAGGTACCAGGCCTTTCTGCCCGTTCAGCTCCCCCTGCAAGCACGGGAGGGTGACAAGTACAACTATTTATCCTCTTAGCTTTCCTGAGGAGGAGACAGTTGATAATTGGCATTTTTCTTCTAAGTGGATTCCAATTCCTGTGCCCCAGAATCCTGGAGGGTGACCAAGTGTGAACACATGCAGATTTAAAACTTTGGCTTTATCAGACAAAAGAGCCTCAAAGGAATGCACATGTGAAAGAAAAGCTGAAATCTGGGCAACAATTTCAGGGGAAAAAATGTATCAGCAACATGTGTGATACAGGCTGAGTATCCTCTAAATACAGGGCTTTGCGAAGGTCGGAAGCCAGGTGGTGAAGAGCCAGGACCCCGAGACCTTACACCCCGGGGAGGTGGATGCTGGTGCGCAACAGGGAAACAAGGCTGGTGTGGTAATGTATGCCTTTCATCTTAACCGGCTGCAAAGCAAGAACGCCACAGTCCAGATCCACCCAGCAAAAGAAGCCCAAGACTCCATCTGAAAGATAGCTAAAGCAAGAATGGCCAAGGGCATGGCTCAGGTGGTAGACTTCCTGCCTAAGCAAGCAAGCACAAGGACGTGAGTTCAATAACAAAAAAAAACCCTCAGGAGAAAGAGAGCAAGCTAGTCAAAGTTTTCTGCAAGCTGTTTGAAAATTAAGGAACAAAACATGATTGAAACAGCACATCTCCACATCAGAAACTTACATAATAAAATCCATCTTCGTCGATCTCACCAAAAACAGTAATAATATCTCCTGTGCAAAACGGAAGCTCGGCCTGCAGAGACAGACAGAAAATTAAGATCGTTTAGTCACGCGGGCAAGCGGGTTTTGGAACTAGATCAGATAAAAGCAACTGGACCTTCTAGAAACTTCATACAGCTACTGCCTTCTGGTCCAAATTCGAGGTTTCTGCCATTTTTTACTGGCAGTGTAACTGTGAAGCTGGTCACCTGGCTGACCCTAAAAGCCCGGAACATTGGGGAATATTCTTTTCTCTAAAGGACCACCCCATAAACACAGCTCTCCAGTTTTACAAACAACCATATGGACTTGACTGTCAGTCAATGTCCATCTCTCTGGGATGGCCCCCGGCAGGCCCCAGCCTGCAGAATAGGCAGACGACACTGAGCATGGTGAGTCCCTGTCCTGGGGCTGAAATCGCCCCACACAGTCCACACTGTGGAACCTACAAGAAGGGAGAGCCAGAAACCCGGTGGGGGATAGCTTTCAAAGAGGGTTTGATTTCTAACAGGAATGGCGGCTCGTGAGTGTGCACGGGGCGGCGGGCCCCCGTGGCGTGAGAGCCGTGTGGATTGGGCCTCTGGCGCTGAGGAGGATGCGTTGGGCACCGTGGTGGCCTTGGGACCTGGACGGCAGGTCTGCCCACCCTGTGCTCTCTGTCCGTCCCCGCGTTGCTGTGTGGCTCTGACCCACCGGCCCTGTGGACCTCCTCCCTACCGTGACCCGTGTCACCACCCGTGGACGTGGACCCCAGGTGTCCTTCTGGCCACGGTGCCGCAGAGCTGGGGGCACAGCCTGTGGGCGAGGCAGCGCGCCCGTCCCAGACCCCCGCAGACGTCTGCAACCGCGGCCAGGACAGGCCGGAAACCTAAGGCCCGTCGGCCCACCCCGCACGGCGCTCGGCCTGCAGACGTGGCACCACCTGAACTCCTGACGTGACACAGGACAGCCGTCGCCGTGGCTGGGGTGGGGGGGCTGCCTGGCTCGGGGTTTCCACCTCTACAGCCGTGGCCGGCATGGCTACAGCCCGCTGTGTGAGCCCTGCGCCCCGTGGCCTGGCCGGTACCTCCACGTCCACGTTGGGGGAGCTCTCTCGGGGGTCATAGTCATACAGGGCCACCATTCTTCGCGTTGATGAGGCGTGGGGCCGGCCACCGCGCCAGCTCCTTTCTGTGAAGGAGGAAGAGGAAGCCCAGCTGAGGTCAGCTCAAACGGCAGCTCTGGGGGGGCCACAGGCAAACCCTGAAGGAACCAAAGCTCGCCCCCCCAGAGCCAGCCCTACCCCGCACGCCCTCCCAGGGACCCCCATGGGGGTCCCCGCATGGCCCCCCACAGCCCCGCATGGCCTCCCACAGCCCCCAGGGCCCCCCACGGCCCCACATGGCCTCCCATAGCCCCCAGGGCCCCCCACGGCCCCGCACGGTCCCCCACAGCCCCCAGGGCCCCCCACGGCCCCGCACGGCCGGCCCCCACTGTGAGGCAGCTGCTCCGGGGCGCGGGGCCACACTCACCAATTTTCTCCACGGGCGTGTTCAGCGGGAGGAAACCTTGTCTCAGCAGCTGCTCCATCATCTCCTCGTCGGCCGCCTGGATCTCGGACACCATGTTACAAGGGATGAGGCCGAGCCGGGAGCAGGTCTCCCCCCGGTAGAATCCGTCCGCATCCTTATCGCCATACACCTGGCGCGGGGAGGCGGCGCACGGTTGGCCGTCGCTAATCACACAGCCCGCGGGCAGCGCTGCCGTGGGCCAGCAGGAGGCGCCCACCGCGCTGGGGCTGCGGCCTGGACCTCGTTCACCCTCAGCCCGACCCACGGTGGCCCATGATGTGGCGTGGGCCTGAGTGCGTGTGCGTGCGTGCACCCGCACCCCGGAGCTGTGGCTCGGCCCCCCACGGCCCCGCCCCGCGCCCCACCTTGATGATCTGTCCTTCCTTGAAGGGCAGCTCCTCCTCGGCCGCGTCGGGGTTCGGGGACATGGTGAGCGGGTCGTAGTCAAACAGAGCCACGAAGATGCGGGCCGGGAGGTCCTCGGCGCCGGGGTCGGTTTCCGACTCCTCGTAGAAGTCTGGAGAGAGGCGGTCCCGCGGGGTGTGCTCACCTGGCAGCAAAACGGAGAGGCGGTGACCCTGAGGACGCCCGGCGCCCGTGCCGAGGGAGAGGCGGTGACCCTGAGGACGCCCGGCGCCCGTGCCGAGGGAGAGGCGGTGACCCTGAGGATCCCCGGCGCCCGTGCCGAGGGAGCAGGTGTAGACCCGGCTCTCACCTGCCGTGTTGTTCTTTCTGGCGTAACACGAGCGGGAAAGAGATGTGAGGGCTTGGGGTGAATCCCAGGAGCTGAAACCGGAAACCCGGCCCCAGGCCCGGCCCGGCCAGAGCCAGCCCCACGGCGGGAACCCCGGGCCCTCCGCCTTCCTCTGGTGGCTCCTGGGGAGAGCCAGCCAGAGCAGATTGGGCCTGCAGGGGTCAGGACGTTACACCCACGCGCGCACACACCCTCGGCAGCAGCCGCCCTCACCCCGCAGAGTGCAAGGCTCGAGCACTTCCATGCTTCGCACACACTCGTGTCCTCACGTGCGTGTGCTGAGCGTGGCATAGTCACCGAACCACAGCGGCTTCCGCCCGGCTTTGGATCGAGGACTTCCTAGCACGTGTGGGCTTCAGGTCCGCTTCTAGAAGGACCTGGCTTCTAAAAAGGACTCTTTTTGACATGCTGTTCTATGAGCAGATCTGTGTGCTGGGTCATGGGTGAGGCCTGCGGTTCCCCCACTTGGGCAGGAATGGGGTTCAGGAACCCCGGCAAGCAGCAAAAGCAGGAGAGCTCAAGAGCCTGAGGAGAACACGTTGTGTCGCCCAGAGTGTCCACCTGTCTGGCTTGTCTTCAGCTATCCCAGACGCCTGCAGCCCTTCCCTCCACGTTGGTGCTGGGTGGGTGGTGGTTCTGAGAGGTTCTTAGGGAATTGTGACCAGAAAACCCGTCTGTACAGGGTCGGTGTGGTGGTGGCCTTTTCCCAGTGTTTTCTGTTGGCAGGTGGTGCAGGCTGTGTGCACGTGTTTGGGGGGCGGGGGGGGGGTGTAGAGGCAGAGCAGCAGGTGCAGGGGCTGGGGTAACGTCTTGACCGTGCAAGCAGATCTCAAGGCCAGAGTCAGGCCAGAAAGGCTGGGGGCGGGGCAGCCCTGGCCCCTCCCACTCTCTCCAGGAAGCACAGGTGTGCCAGGCGCTAGTGGCTCACCCCTACAATCCTTCAATTCAGGAGGCTGAGATTGGAGGATCATGGTTTGAAGCCAGCTGGGCAGGCAGATTCCTGACTCTTATTTCCCATAAATCAGCAAAAAGCCAGAAGTGGAAATGTGGCTCACGTGGTAGAGCTCCAGCGCTACCACTTTTTGCCTTGAGTGAAAAGGCTAAGGGACAGCGCCTAAGCCCCGAGTTCAAGCCCCACCCCTGGCACAAATACGTAAACCAACCAATAACTAAATAAAACACACTGGGAGCCGTGCCTTTCAGATGCAGTGAACCGCCTCCATCGTGGATGGAGGACCTTCAGGATGTCTGCTCGTCCATACTTGGTTGTGTTCTGTTCTGTTCTTTGTCCGGCCGTTTGTTTTCTCCAGGAACTCGGCTTTCCCTGGGAGACCTCTGGTTTCCAGAATTGTGGAGCAAAATGTGGGTTGACACTAATGCAGAGCCCGGCGGTGCTGGTGACAATCAATCCATGTGCACGGGGCCGCTCACGCCAGGGCCAGGGTCTGGGGCGGCTGTGCCTTGGGCCGTGCAAAGTCACGTGTGGCAGCAAGGTGGGCTCCAGAGCCTTGGCGCCAGTGCGCCAGGAATGAGTCACCGCACAACGTTCAGTTCGACGCCCTGGGAGACTGTGCCGCACATACCTCTTCCGGACACTCGCGTTTCCCCTACGCCTGGCCACGAGGCCTGCCTGGAGGGCAGAGCCTGGCCGCTCCTCCCTGCACTCACCAGTGCGGAGGCTGGAATCCAGGTCCACACAGACCCGGAGCTGAGCATCTGCCAGGAACAGCTCCTCACACCTCGCTCCGGGAAGAGGGCATCCTCGGGACAGGGCATGGGGTACGACAGCCCGAGTACCCCGCAGAGCCCTGAGGTACTGGTGGAAATTCATGCTCCGGAGGTCAAGGCTGGAAGCCCAGCCCTGAACGAGGAGCCCGGTGTGGTCACGGGGGCGTGGTCAGGCTATTTCTGCTCACGGTTATCCTGCAGCCTTGTTTGTGTGTTGTGTATATGATGTACATCTTATGCATAAGGTGTGTGTGTGTGAAATGCAGGAGTGTGAAATACATTTGTATGTTGCGTGTATGCTGTACATCTTGTATGTAAGGTGTGTGTGGAATATGGAAACGTGCCTTTGTGTGTTTGCATAGTGTGCATGTGTGCTGTGCATACTGTCTATCACTGTGCATCATGGGGGACATCATGTGTGTGTGTGTGCATGTGTTCTGTGCATACTGTCTATCACTGTGCATCATGGGGGACATCGTGTGTGTGTGTGTGCTGTGCATATTGTGTATCACTGTGCATCATGGGGACATCGTGTGTGTGTGTGCATGTGTGCTGTGCATACTGTCTATCACTGTGCATCATGGGGAACATCGTGTGTGTGTGTGTGTGCATGTTTGCTGTGCATATTGTCTATCACTGTGCATCATGGGGGACATCGTGTGTGTGTGTGTGCGTGTGTGCTGTGCATACTGTCTATCACTGTGCATCATGGGGGACATCGTGTGTGTGTGTCATGTGTGCTGTGCATACTGTCTATCACTGTGCATCATGGGGGACATCGTGTGTGTGTGTGTGCATGTGTGCTGTGCATACTGTCTATCACTGTGCATCATGGGGGACATCGTGTGTGTGTGTGTGTGCTGTGCATATTGTGTATCACTGTGCATCATGGGGGACATCGTGTGTGTGTGTGTGCGTGTGTGCTGTGCATACTGTCTATCACTGTGCATCATGGGGGACATCGTGTGTGTGTGTGCATGTGTGCTGTGCATACTGTCTATCACTGTGCATCATGGGGGACATCGTGTGTGTGTGTGTGCATGTGTGCTGTGCATACTGTCTATCACTGTGCATCATGGGGGACATCGTGTGTGTGTGTGTGTGTGTGTGTGCTGTGCATACTATCACTGTGCATCATGGGGGACATCGTGTGTGTGTGTGTGTGTGTGTGCGCGCGCGCGTTCCCACGCATGACGCTGTCTACTTCAGGCTGACTCACAGGCCCTGCTGTCGGGCAGGACACCATCTGGAGCTGTCACCTCAGGACGGGACAATGCTTGTAACTTGACCTGACCTTCGGCCACACCGGAGCACCAACCGGCCACAGTGGCCATGTGACAGTACCACGGCTCGATCCACTAGATAACTGAGCTTGGAGCACCGGGATCAGGGAGCAAAGGTTGGGGGCTGGAGTGATGCTGAGGGTGGAGGAGAGGGGAAGAGAGGGGCTTCCCCCCGGGACCACCCGGCCTTAATGCTTGCATGATATGGCCCCAGCCAGTGCGCTTTGGGCGTGCCAGCAACTCTGCATCACTGGGGACTTAATGGATATTTGGGGTACACCGCCACTCCAGCTCTGGCCTCCACTCAGGCTGGGACTCTGGAGAGTCGGTGACGCCAGTCTTGGTGGCAGCGCTGGGGAGTGGGTATCCATGACCACGAGGCTGGTAGCTGCGAGACAATCCAACCAAGAGGCTTTGCTCTCTTCACAGGCCATCCTTGTCTTGTTTTTGCCAGAAACCACTCAGAGTTTTCTCTATGTAAAAATGCTATTCCTGAGGGGTTGTGTGTGTCTGTGTGTGTATGTGTGTGTGTGTGTGTGTGTGTGTGTGTGTGTAGACTGAAGACTAAGTAGGCACATCTCTGCTGGAAAGAAAGAGTAAGACATGAAGCAGGCACTCACCGAGAGCGGGGGCCATCGCCGGCCGGGGCCTGTGCGGGCCGGCGCTGCCGTGGGACACCCTCCGGCCCTCGTGATCCGCTCTGTCTGCCCGTCCAGCCAGCACGGTGTTTCCTAAGATCTAGAGACAGAACAGCACAGTCACGAGTCTGCCTCAGCCTTCGGAGAGAAAGAATAAGTCAGCCAAATCAATCCAGACTGGAAGCAGAAGCTTGAAAGGCAACTAAACTTAGCTTTTAACTGAAAGGTTAGCTGAATGGCCTGGGAAGAAACAGACTGGGCCCCGGGGGCTCCTGGTCCCGCATCGGCGCCACTCTGGGGCACGCGGTGGGGCCAGGGGGACAAAAATGCGTGGGTGGGGTGCTGTGTTGCTGCCCCCCTGTGGGTCACATGGTTCAGATGCGTGTCTGGCGCGGGGCACCTGCACACTCGAGTGCCAGCCCTCTGCTGGCTCTGTGCGTCCTGCCTCAGCTGCCACACCACAAGAAGCCCACGGCAGTGCCCCCTCCATCTCCCAAAAACCCAAGCGGGGGACACTCCCGCAGGCGTGGCCACACACGGGCCCATGTGGACGCCAGGGCCTGGCAGGGGGCCTTTCTGGGCATCCCCACCCCTCAGTGGCCTAGAGGTTGGGACCAGCAAGGAGCCTCTGGCTCCTGGGAAGTGGCCCCAGGTCACCGGTGCAGGGAAGGGGCACCAGTGACGCAGGCCAGAGGTGGCGGCTCTGGACCACGGTGCTGCTCCCATGCCCAGCATAGCGAGATGAGCACTCTGAAGAAAACACACTGGAGTGATGAATGAAGACCTGGGCACCAAGGCAGAGGGGGGTCTGCATGCATCCTGGAGACGGGGGCCAGCAGGAAAAAACCCTCAGAAATGATGAGCTTCTTTAATAAAGGGCCTCTTTCTTAAAATTATGATCGAAGGCTAAAAAACAACAACTAAAAGTTCCAAAACAATGAGACAGAGAGAAACAGAGACAGAGATAGAGAGCGAGACCTCCAATAATCCAACCACCATAAAATTTTGCTTAAAAACCTTCCGTTTTGGAAACTGTGCATATTGCCAAACTTTTGGGTGTTTGTAGTTCAGCTAACCCTTAATTAAAACTTAGATTCAGTTGCCCTTGAATTGAAGCAGCCATACACCATCGTTACTGATCTGGGGGTGGGGAGTTACTTCTCTAAAGCAAAGCAAAGAAATCGTCAGCGTGGTCAAGCGATTGAGAAGCAAAGGGACTGAGAAATCAAAAGTGCGGGGAAACCGGGGACAGCCGGCCGAGAAGAGGCCCCGGAATGGACAAAGGAAAAAGGGTGGGAGATGGAAAACGGATTGGTTTGGCAAGCGTGGGTGGAGAGGAAGATGACGTCACACACCAAAGGGCCGTCTGCAACTCTGGGAGGAGGCTGGGCGTGGCGGTCAGCGGCCCTACTGTCGGGCATGGCTGGGCTTTTCCTCCAGACACCCCGAAAGTCTTCGTGGCCAGTAGCCTCGTCCCAGCCATACCTCCTGGGCAGGGGCCTCTCCGGGCTGAGCAGGGTGCCATCGCTTCTGAAGACCTCACTGGGGTCCACCTGCTCCCCCAAATCCTCTTCAATGCTGCTCTGCCGCGTCAGCGTGGGCCGCCGCGCCAGTGGAGGCTGCCGGCTTCGCCGACAGGGACAGTGACCGAGGCCCGGGCTGCACTTGGCCACGGCGCTCCTGAAACTAAACCAAGACTCATCCTCCTCGCTGCCGCAGTCCAGCCCGCTGTCCGGGCTCCTGGTGGCCGAGCGGCTGAACCGGCAGCCTCTGTCTTCCAGGAGGTCCTCGGCGTGGGCAGGCCCCTGGCCCCTGTGCTTGGCCAGCATCCAGGAGCCCTGCGGGGCCGGGTGCCCCCAGCAGGGCCGGCCGGACCCCTGCCCCATGGCCAGCAGGGCCCTGGCGCGGGAGGCCCCCGCGGCCTGCCTAAGCAGCGGCTCCCCATGCTCCGCGTCCTCCTCCGCTACCTCGGGGATACTGAACAGCCGCTTACTGCGGTGGGGGTGCTGGGGGAACTCGGGCTGCTCCAGGAAAGCGCCCTCCAGGCTCCTGGACTTAGAGCATTCCTTAAGGGCGGGGGGAGAGCAGTGAGCGACCAGACATGAGGCAGACGGGTGGGCGGGCGGACCAGGAAGGAGAGAAAACACACACAGAATTAGTCCCCGCGCGAGGTTCCGTGGGGCGGCGGCTGGGATGGAGCACAGGTCACAGAGAGGCACCTACAGGAGGCGGGGCAGCACACGGACAGCCAGCGGGGCGTTAGGAACAGAGGCCATGCAGATGGACCCAGGGCGAGGGGCCCAGCCTAGAGGCAGGCAGGGCGGGGCTGCCTGCAGCGCCCATCCAGGGCTCCCTGTGCGGACGTGTGCGCCCACTGCCTGAACTGCGCCCTGACAGACATCCCAATGTGAGCTGCGTCTGGGAGGACGCTGCATCTCGGGTGTGAGTTGCATCTAGGATGACTGCATCACGGTGTGAGCTGCGTCTGGGATGACCCTGCATCATGGTGTAAGCTGTGTCTGGGATGACTCTGCATCACGGTGTGAGCTGTGTCTGGGATGACTCTGCATCATGGTGTGAGCTGCATCTGGGATGACTCTGCATCACAGGTGTGAGCTGCGTCTGGGATGACTCTGAATCACAGGTGTGAGCTGCATCTGGGATGACTCAATCACAGGTGTGAGCTGTGCCTGGGATGACAATGCATCACAGGTGTGAGCAGCGCCTGGGATGACTCTGCATCACAGGTGTGAGCTGCGTCTTGGATGACCCTGCATCACAGTGTGAGCTGCGTCTGGGATGACCCTGCATCACGGGTGTGAGCTGTGTCTGGGATGATTCTGCATCACGGTGTGAGCTGTGTCTGGGATGATTCTGCATCACGGTGTGAGCTGTGTCTGGGATGATTCTGCATCACGGTGTGAGCTGCGTCTGGGATGATTCTGCATCACAGGTGTGAGCTGCGTCTGGGATGACTCTGCATCACGGGTGTGAGCTGCGTCTGGGATGACTCTGCATCACTGGTGTGAGCTGCGTCTGGGATGACCCTGCATCACAGGTGTGAGCTGTGTCTGGGATGATTGTGCATCATGGTGTGAGCTGTGTCTGGGATGACTGTGCATCACGGTGTGAGCTACATCTG